GTTTTTTATGAGAGTATAACATTATAACATGATATAAAACTCAAAAAAGTTGATTTTACATGATGTTGCCCCTTTAAGAAACTGTTCATTTGAATTGTCACTCTTGCAGGAGGGTCACAAAGCCTGCAGAATGGGTCTAACTCAGCAGCTACTCACCATGCCCAACTTCAGGTGAGAAATAAATAATAAATACAATGTAATGCTTAAGTATGTAATACCTGTGTGTATATTATGAAACAATAATATGCTTCTTTTTTGTTATAAACTGTCACATCAGCCAACTGCTGCGATCCAAGAGCAAAGAGTCAGTGGCCTCGGAGTCATCCAATCAGACCAGTGGATATCAGTCAGGGTACCACTCTGATGACATGGACACCCCAATCTATGCTAATGAGGAGATGATCATGAAGCGCAACATGCTGAAAAAGCCTCCACTTCCCAAGACACCTGAAAAGTTCAATACAGAGATCCGTTACAGCACTCCACCTGTCTGACACCTTCTCCCCTTCAATGACAGAACAGTATTTATTCATTCAGGTTTTACACTTCAGAACTAGTGACCTGATAACAATGATAGAGGTTTGGAGACGTTCTTACAACAGGAAACCTATGTTTTAAGCTGGTAAAAATGAAAGCCATATGTTAAGTTTGTGTAGCAACTCTATTTATACCAAGTTTACACAGCAAGTACAATGCCTAAGGAGCTCAAAAGATAAGGGACATGACCACTTCCTGAAATGTAGTTCACTCACTTCTATACCAGGAAGTACAGATATTTGAAGCAAGTGTGTTTTTTTTTCCTGTCTTTCTTTTTGTGTGCCTGAGTTTGCACAATGAATGGCTTTTTGGAGGAGTTCTCAAATCAAATGATGATTTCTGTAGTCTGTTTGTACAGTTCTTTTATTCACATTACTGACAGGATTATATAAAGAGAAGATTACAAAATTCAATTGTTACTGTATTTTTTAAATTAAATACTCACAAAATAAAACCATTTAAACTTTTATTTTTTATATATTTTCTGTTTGACATTGAAACTTTTTTCAGTTCTGTTTATCCATGATAATCCATTAGTGCTTATCTGTATCATGTTTCATGTTCTGTGTGTTTTATACTAACACAGCAATTTTTAGCCTTTGTGTGTGTGTGTGTGGGGGGGGGGGNACTCTATCCTGGAGACACAATTTATCAGGATAGTATTTTTTAAGTAATAACAACTCAGAATAAACAAGGAGTGACGACTTTCTACTTCTTACCTTTTTAAAAATGTAGTAAGTAGAAAGTACAGATAATGTAAAAATGTAATGAGTAAAAGTAAAAAGTACACTGAAAAATAATTACTCAAGTAAAGCACAGATACCCAAAAATTCTACTTAAAGTACAGTAACAAAGTATTTGTACTTAGTTACTTTACAACTCTGCCTGCGGTTTGCAGCAGCCTCAATAGCTGACGCATGTCTTTATGAAAGTGATTCTCAATCCTGGTCCTCAAGGACCCCTGTCCTACATGTTTTACTTGTTTTCCTGCTTTGGCACGCCTGATTTAAATGAAAGAGTGATTGGCAGGCAGCCTGGGACCGAGTCCGGTGCTCAGACGAGTGCGGCAAATGTGTACTGTGGGGATGGGATGAAGTTGTAGAGCCCCATCGAGGAGTTTCCATCGTTGTACAGACAGATTGTCGACTCTGAGGACGAGGACATACGTGGAAAGGACGACAAGGTGAAAATGAATCTGGTCCTAAACAAAAGGGTGAATAGGGTTGATGAGGAGGATGCTATTCTCTCTCCAATTGCCCAGCTTCATGACCAGGCAGCTCCATCAGTGATGGACTTCAGCCCTCTCTGGCACCACATGAAGATGATCATCGTGACTTGCAAACAGGCTGCAGCCCAACTCTCCAWAGAGTGGTCTGCATTAAAAAATGCCAAGGGTGAAGAAAGGTATTTACTGTACGTGATGAAAAAATCCTGCCCTCCCATCAGTCTACTGAAGCAGTTCATGCCCGTTGTTCCTGGGTGCATGAAGGAGGTTGAGGCATTATTGTGAAGAACCTTTTCGCTCAGAGTGCCAGTCAAGGGTTACTCATGGCTATAAATGGCTAATGGTGAAACTCTGGAGCTTGCAGACCCCCTGTTGGTGGAGCAGTCAGTCACTTTTCACCACCATCCCAACACTACTCCAATTTGACAGCTGCAGGACCTGCTTCCAGGCAAGATGGAGCACTTCACAACATCCATGTGTACAAGTCTACAGGTCTGCGACTTAGTCCGTAGAAAATCTGAACGTGGTCATGGTCCTTTTAGCCTACCAAGCAGAGCTATTTCAAGGATATGGGGTTACTTAAGAACACCCAGAGTCCGACAGTTTGGAAGTAATTGTAAATGGTCTTGTACTTGTATAGCGTCTTTCTATCCAACCAGGATACTCAAAGCTCTTCACACAACAATCTGTGCCCTCATTTACCCATTCACACTGCAGTCTACTAGATCTCTACAAAGCTAACATGTACAATCATCTATGGAGACTAATCAGTGTTTTAAATTACATTCACACACTGATGGGACACATCAGAGGTATTGGGGGTGAATGTTGTCCAAGGACACAACAACTGAGACAGCTGGAACAGGGGATCGAACATATATCTACATACATATATGTATGTACAGTATATATACTGTATATATAAACACTAAATAAAACATTAGCTCCTGAGCTAATATTATCTCAGGAGCTAACGCTAATGGTATTATCTTAAGCATTCTGGGTAAATGATGACACTTACTAGGTGCTACAAAAATATTATTACCTTGGGAGCTAATATTTATATATATGTATGTAT